TGGAGAGTTACGGAACAGGAAAGAGCCATTTAATTGTTACTTTTGCCGGGTTTCAATTATTAAAAACGCGTCCAGCCGTTTGAGACTACATAAACTTCATGGAAAAACTCTTTTTTAAAATTGAATAATTGAATATATTGTAATATTTTATTCCATGTATCGACGATGTAATGAAACAAATTTACAGAGGACAAAACGTTTTTTGAATATATGAATCGTACCTAAATCTCTCACGGAGTCACGTGACTAAATAATAAACGGGAAATGAAGTTTTTCTACCTTTCTGTCCACATACTTAAGCATTTCGTAAATAAGGGTACGATCATATCAATGACGAAAAAAGTAACTACACTATTTATTACCATATTGTATTGCTCTACATCTCTGTAGGTTTTTTTTACAACTAGAGTGGGCCGAATGTCTGTACAGCTCTCGGAAATGAAATGAACACAACGCCTCGGGCCTAGGGGAACGTTCGCCGCGAACAAAAAGAGGAGAGATCACGGTCATTCAAATAGGGCTGTTAACTGTGTAGCGACTGGAAATCTTACTGTTATATTTTTATGTTATTTACCGACGCAAATAAATTTCGTGTCTATTCATTTAGATTCTGAAACGCGAAAGTCCCGTGATTTTAACGGCTTATTATGTTTAATATTAGCGTAGCTTGTGAAACAGTTAAGGAAGAACGATCCTCAAGGGCTGGTGTACGGCACGTTCAATATACATTACAAGCGGCTTTAACTCATGACAAAAGACATTAATATACAAGGGCGTTTGTAATGCACGATCGACGGCCCGACCCACTATACGCTCTTCACATAAATAAATCTTGTAGACTCTGTCCGCCTCAACATCAAAGATATAGGCCCGATCATCAACATCTTCATAGTAGAAACTCAGTGCGCGCTCTATTCAGTATTCAAACGTAAGACGGGGTAGAACGTTCGACGTGCTTATCAAACACATTTTTGGCCCTCTCTCCTAAGTAGCAGCCGCCCAAACCAAAATAGCACTTCGCTTTTCGCGCTTCCCTTCGCTTTACGCACTCAGTAAGACCTTAGTGTGACCTGTTGTCTCAAAAAACCACATGTCCATCAGGACTAAGCAACTCAAGGATGTGTAAGTTCTGTTCCATAACGGAAGAAACGCCTCTGCAAATCCTAAATTGCGGACCCTTAATGCGCAAACGTAATACTCATCTGGGAAACTATGTACTCCGCCCAGAAGAAGTGAAATCGCTCACGGCTAAGCAACTCATTCTATTCATTGAAGACATAGGACTTAGCAGTGAACTATAACCATAGCCGCGATCATAATAGATCATTTAAGTCGCAGTGATACTGGTCTCCTTCCCTAGACCTGCATAGCTGCTCGCACAAGACCTTAGTGTTAGGCTACGCAAACGTAGTGATTATTTACTCTCTGGCTACGCAGAGCACCGCAAAAGTTTTGCGGTGTTGCCTGACATTTTTATTTGGTGGACATTTTCTGACATTTTTACGTGTGGTCAACACGTTGTAATTAAAATATATTTTATTATTTATTTATAATTTTACTTACTTACTTACTTACTTATCTTCACGCACAATCCCTAACGGGGTAGCCAGAGAGAACAGATCGCCAAGTGTCACGATCCTTACATACCTCTTTCGCTTCTTTCAGGTTCATTAACTTCTTCATACATGCACGTCTAGGTATCCGAGTACTCTTGACCCTCCCCTCTTCGAGCAATTTGCTCACATGGTCTTCGAAAGTTAGTCTCGGTCTACCTCGACACCTTTTAATATTTACTTTCGCTCTATATATTTTCTTCACCATTCGGTCTTCACTCATTCGTTCAACGTGCCCAAACCATTGGAGTACGCCCCTATCAATTTTTGTGATAAGGTCATCTTTCAATCCTGCCATATTGCGGATCTCTTCGTTTCGCTTTCGGTCGGCTAAGGTAACACCACACATTTTACGAAGAGATCGCATCTCAACTGCATTCAACTTGCTTTTATGCTTCTTCTGGCATACCCAGGTTTCGCTGCCATATAACAAAGTCGGTACCAACACTGCATTATGTATTGCAAGGCGTGCACTCTTCACCACGCCTTGCCTTTTTACTAATGCATTCAGGGCACCATTGACTTTGTTTCCGGCAGCGACACGCCTGTCCACATCTAAATCACATCTTCCATCCCGGCTGAAAGCACTCCCCCAAGTATACAATTTCATTTACCTGTTCTAGACATTCCTGTCCATTTATAATTTTAAAGTTGTATTTATGATTATATAAGTACTACTAATACGAAACCTATTTAGAAGCGCCAGTTCCACTTAAGTGTTATTTTCAGATTTTTTCTAGGCGAAAGTTTTACTATCACTCTACATTTCTGTTCTGTACATATGCTAAAGGAGCATTATGGTCGGGAGGTCAATCGGGGAAACCCCGTAAAAAAATCAGCACATATTTTATTATAATACTTTGCGGCTATTTGTACTCTCAAAGATGTTTCTTTAAAAAAATTTTTTGGACACATCAATAAAACAATTCTCCCGAAATATTGATTTATAAAGAGATGTAGATCCAAAATTTTTAAGTATAAAAAATCTGGTGCGATCAATTTCTCCAAATAGTTTAAGTACTAAGGGTATGATGGCGCAGTGGTTAAAAATTTATTTGAGGCGTTATTTGTATGGTCTTCAAATAATTCATCGCAAACGCCGCAAAGGGGCGAATCTCCATTTTTTTAAAATTACAGGAGAGCAAGAAAATATTTATAACTCCCTGATTACTAGCTTTTAAAAAATAGGAGGTTCGCCCCTTTTCGGCGTCAGCAACGAACTGTTTCGGCTCTGGGTGTTTGTCCATATTCAATTTACGAGTATGTGTAGCAAACGCCTTGACAATGCAAGACATTGCCAGCGTGGGTGTAACATATTGTTTTCTGAAAAAGAGGGAAGTGACTTTATGGAATACAATTGTACTAGTACAGCTTTTTAAAATTAGAAACTAATCATTTGAATAAATTTAGGAATGATGATAGGCAGTTATTTTAATATAACTAACTGTACGCTATACTGGACCGGGGCCTCTCTCATTTTAAAACGGATTTTTTATAGTATAGGGTGACAAACGAGCACACAGTCCACCTGATGGTAAGTGGTTGCTGCGGCCCATAGACATCTACATTTATCCTCGATTACGAATTAAAATGCAGATGCGTTATCACCCGTAAGGACTAAGATAGAATGCCTCGTTTACAGTAAAACCAGTTCTCTATAATATCTGCGAAACACAGCAGTATTAAGCTGCTACTTTATGCTGGTATTCTTTGAAAGCGTTGTGCTTCCCTGGTCGAGGCGACCCATTCGTGCTACAGACATACTACCAATATAACAGTAGCATGGTTCTACCATGTATCGATCTACGATGTAATCGAACTGCTTGGAAGGCTCGTCGATCGTAGAATTAAAATATTATATGTCTCGCATTTTTGACACTCTCCCCGTAGCGGTTCTGACTTACACTAAATGTTTACAGCGCCATCTATACGAGTCCATGAGAGTTTTCTTATTTCTTCCATAGTCATCATCAGTCTGCTACGCTGCCAACACATGGCAATTCATTATTATGCATGCTAAATAATTTTAAATTAGTGTTGTTTTCAGTAAATAAATGTAATTAATAGTAGTACCTATCATATAACATGTACCTACATTGCTTCTCTAAATGAGTATGAAGGTTCAATTGTGAAATACAGTTGGCTTCGTTTCACTTCGTTGGCATTTAACCCTTTTAAATAGGATTATTTTATTTATCTCATTAGGCCTATCGATTATGATATATTTCCTCAAACTATAAATGAGCTAAATCAAACATACTCTGTTAAAGCTTGAGGAAATGGCCTTTAGATAAATTAATGTTAGAATATAAAATAAACTTCGTTTTTACGAGTAGTATTATATTTTAAACCTGTGACCCGTCTCTGCATCGCCTGGATATATGTATGTATATTAGAGCCAATAGTAGAGCGTTATTTTAATAATCAAAGACCATTTATTTTTTGATTTACAAAAAAAATCTCCAAGTCTTTCGGATTAAATATAGCCAAGATCCCTCCAGGGACTGCTCTCTATCTGTTCGTAAAGTTTGTAAACAATCGGATCAGCCATTGCAAATATTGGCTCGGACAGACAGACAAAAATTTTAAAAATGGTTGTTCATGTAGTAATCATGTATAATTACATGCAAACAACCACTTCATCTCAATAAATGACACAGATAAATAATTTTAAATATATTTATATGTGTAGATTAAATTTATTTTAGCCAGCAAATTATCCTAACCCATATCACGGTTGCGTTTTAAAGGTTTTTTAATATGTTACTTTAATTACTACTGGCTACAGTTGCCTCCCCATTTTGTGAAGTAGGCTTAGTAGTTATAATTAGCGACTGTTTATGATCGGACTGTTTCGCAGAATTTTTCTGTAATTATAATTAAAATTTAATGTAATTTACTTAATGTTTTAAATAAAATTATTATATAAAATCACGGAAATAGGATGTTCTACGTGGCTGGGCACAGGTGACATCTGGATTTTAATGTTGGAAGCTAGTATTCGTGCAGATGTTACAGTTTATCATTCGTTCATTCAAAATCAAATATTCATATTCCTCCCATCCAATGGGCATCTCATGTTGAGTAATGTAAATAATAATCGGGCTTAATGAGGCTCGGCTAGGTCGAGTTTGTCAGACATCTTCAGTCATGTTGTAAATAAGAAGGAAACACCCTTGAACGGGAAGGTAATTCACATGCAATACGTATGTTATTGCGTTGCATACTAATTTGAATGTCCGCTTTCACTTCAATGTATAAGGTTAAAGGTTTAGTACTGCAAGCGACTTTCCTTTAAGGCTCGTGTATATTTACACCATTTAAGAAGGCATAGCGAGCTATTTACAAGGTATTTGTAATAAAATATTATGTTGTTTTCTTTTCCAGGACGACGAAGACGATGACGACACCGAAACATGTATCAGCCCAGAAACCTGCGTGCCCCAACCATTCCCAAGGCATATGGCGCCACAGCAACCGGCGCCAAAACCATGGAAGAGAACTGGTACTAAACTGGCTTTGCTTTGTTTAACAATGTAGATGGCCCCACAGGGACACAAGTTTAATCGTCACAATGTGTACCCAATACATGTGACCCAAATTTCTCAAAAGTTGATCGAAAATCAAGCCAAATATGCCTTAGAAATGGCGGAAAACAGCTTCACACTTGCGGCACATGTACAACCCTCGCTTGCTGCTAAGACCGCTAACGTGTTTGATATACACTTGTAAGGTTTGGGTTTTAAAATCGAATGATGCACTTTACAAACGCATGTTTTGTCTTATGATGCTAGAACTACAGTAGAGCTTAAGGGGTATGTACATTTATCACTTAAAAAATTGGAAACGCAATAGAATGTTATTAGAGAGGATTATCTTTTTAAATGGTAATAAGGGTGTAACAACAATAAAGAATAAATAAACAAACATTTATATCTCTAGAAATGAAGGGATTGTGTAAATAATAAATTGTTAGCACCGAGTAATTTCGAGTGATAGCTCTTACAGTCCTCGGGTTCTTTCCGTTATAATAGTAGTTACTTAATATTAAAAAAAAAAAACAATTGCATCACAGAATATCTAAAAATATATTAGTTATCCTTTCAATTCAGTCCGGAAGACACCAAGCCGAACCAAGTTTTTTTTTTTTTGATTAATTATAAAAGACGAGTATAGTTCTATTTTACTCTGTTAATTTTAAGACTATAAAAAATAATAGATTTAAGAAGGCTAAATTTTCGCACTCTTTCCTACCGCTCCACCGGGCGGTTCCGGAACGAGTGGGGAAGAGCCGCCGCGCGCGCCACCGCGCACGCGCATCTCTCACCACGAGTACCACCAGTTCTGCGACGAGACGCTCGAGTGTATGACCGCACTACGCAGTAGGCTGCATGACTCAATGCCTTTTTCTGTTGCGTTAATTTAGACTTGCCGCTGCTTCCAAAATATCTTAGTTCATTGTTACAAATTTCAAACCATAAATCGCAAAACACTTGAATTTGTTTCATTGTTTAATCTAATCATGCACATTTTAATTTTGCTGTTAATTAACAAATAATAGATATTTGTTAAAAATTGTCCATCGGTAAGATCGCATGACTGAAGCAAAAAGCTCCACTTCTCCATATTCTGAAGTAAACCATAAATTTTATTATTGCCCTGCAGCTTTATGCTGCAACATTTTCGTAATTAATACCTATGTTTATTCATAATGCTTCGCTATTCAACAATTATTATTTCGTTGGCATTTAAGTAATAACGAAAAGCTGCTTTCAATATTCCGCATTTTTCACGTCAAATTTGATTGCTACAGAGTGAGTAGGTTTTTTGTAATTAGTGAATCACAGCTTATTTAGGTATATAAATATTAAGTTTTGTATTTACAAATATCTATAGTATTTAACTTAATTTAATCATGTAATACTTATTTATAAGTAACTTAAGTGCAATATGCAAAAGTATTTCATGTATTATATTATGTATTATTATTTTACAAATCTGTGTTAATAATCTGTTGATTATTTTTTTTACATCCATCAATCAGTGTTGATATGATATTTATTTCCTTTAAAACTTCACTATCGACATATTTATCATAGTATGAACCATTTTTTAATTAATAAAATTTATCTGTTCATAATAATGATCTATTGTAGACATAATTTTATTTCAACACAGAATATTTTTGCCAGTAATTAAATTCCTAAAATCAAAGTTAGTATCTGATTAATTTGCACTGTAGATGAGTTTGTCAGATCTCAACATTATAGAAAAAAGTACTCACTTTGGTGTTTCTACGCAGCATACGACCTGGCAACACAGTGTCCGTCGCGACGAGCTTCGATGCGCCGCCATACAGTCACGCACGTCTGCCCGCCCACCGACGGAGCGCAGTCGCTACCCCACTCCAGGTACCTTCTAAGCAACGATTCTACCAACATTATGATTTTCTCCGGACCGTTTTAGAAGACGTAACAACTTCTTCATCGGAAGTTATCACTTATAAGTTGTGAAGTCATTAAAAAAAATACTACACATAATACGCAGGCACTCGTTCTAACCTCACGCATATCTGACAGGATTTAAGGTCGATAGAAATGGCAACAATTTGTGTTCTTGTAACATTGTTGGGAGATTCTCAGGAGCCAGCCAGGACGTCCCGATGTCAATAGTTATTCGATTACGAGATTACTATTCAAATTAGAATGTTTTTTAATTTCATCCACAGCATCCACCTACCACAAGGTGAACTGTGTGCTCGTTTGTCACTCATATTCTATAAAATGAAACGTACGTCTCTTAAAAAAAGCACGTAATAATATTACCATTTTCTAGCACTAATAAAATTTTGTGTGTATAAAACATAGAATACTATAATACACAATAGAATGGCTGTCAACCTTATTTTATACGACGATACGCGTCGCCGGGAGCACACAAGCAATAACGTCGTATTATCACTACTGCAAATCCGATTCGCTGTGTTGACAGACATATTTTAATACATATTTATTTGTAAATAGCGTGCAATTCGGCATTTTCTAAATAATTTGGAATAAGCGATTGTAACGTCAAAACACACCTCGTGTTACATACTGTGAATTGACGTGTTAGTGACATTTTAGTGGCTACGCGGGCTCTGCCCACTCCCCCATTCTATGTGTAATGTTTGTATTATAGTATTCTATGGTATAAAAATATTGCTGTGTTAGTAATGCGGCTCAGTTTATTGCTTGCTAACTATGGCATTCACAAAAATAAAAATGCAAGTATTTAGACTGCCCTGCGATTGTATACTTTATGTATCGACATGATACGATATGTCATCGTCGCACAGGCCAGGTTCGCGTGCATCGTGTACCGGGGCTGCATCGCTCGCGAGCAGCGATTTGGACGGGCCGCTGGGCGAGTTGTCCTGGTCGCGTTCATCGCTGCAGGACGAACTTATCAAGTCGGTTAGTGGCAGCCTTAGCAGTACGCATGTGAGTAGAAGCTAGCATATTACTTATTGTTTGTTGGATTTTCGACTTTAATAACCGAAATAGGGTTATGTTTGCGTATCGATAATATGACCTTAGGTAAGTTAATATTATTTACTCTAGATTTTAGATAATAGAGCTCTATATTATTCAGTAGTTTTGTATAAAATAATTATAAAAAGCTAATGCTTAATTGATGTGTTTAGTAAAATTAAAATATTTATTTCTAATCTTATCTAAATGCATGAGGCCTTATGTTTCAGTACATATGCATACTGAGACAGAATTATTATTTCTATTATACGCGCACAAGTTTACACGCTGCTTTGTTTTTATTATTAATTAGTTGCAAATAGTTTTTTTTTTTCCTTTTTTCTTTTATATGGAATATTAAAATGAACATAACTAATATTCCTGTTAACCAATTTAATTACGGTCAAAAATGATTGTATTAGTCGTGGTTCAAAGCCTAGGGTTGTCATGTCAACCCACTATATAATATAGTATCCTATTACAGGGTGGCCCATCCAACGTTTGGAATTGGAACTATAGGTTATTTTGAGGTTGGAAGGTTTGATGACATTTCCGATGTAACAGAAGTTTAGTTTTATGTTTGACATTTATGAAATGGGTCGCTTTTCGCTTGAACATAGTTGGGAATTGTTAAAAAACTTATTTCCAAAGTGGTGAGTCTTCTACTCAAATTGTAAGCAATTTACGAAAAAAAAATTGACATAAAGTATGTGCCAAAAACGCTGTTTGTGGATCAATTTGTGAAGCGAGTTCGTGAAATTGGATCGTTGTTGGATAAAACATTCCGTGTACGTACTCGTCCACTGCGCTCAACCGAAAACATCGCTGCTGTTGCTCAGGGTGTGCGTGAACAACCATCAACGTCAACTCTTCATCGTTTTAAAGAATTGAACATTTCACGCAGTTATTTGATAAGAATTTTGTATAAAAATCTCGATATAAATGCGTACAATGTTCAATAAGAGAGCTGAAGCCGTATGACCATCCGTCTTTTTCGGTTTGCTCTGGGGCCAAAGACCGCTTGATCGAAGATGAGCATTTTTACCGACGAATCATAATTTCAGGTGAAGCTCATTTTCAACTCGGAGGATACGTCAATAAGCAAAATATCTGGGACTCAGGAAATCCACACGTCATCTTGGAGAAACCAATGCATCCACAACGAGTGACAGTCTGGTACAAATTTTGGCACTATTGGGCCATTTTTCTTCGTAAATGAGCAAAAAACGCCATTACAGTGAACGGCGATCGATTCCGCGCCTTACCAAGCGATTTTTTGTTTCCTAAAATTGAAGAGGATGACATAGACGACATTTGGTTTCAACAGGACGGCGCTACGTGCCACACAGCCAACGTAACAATCGATCTTTTGCGCTCTGTTTTCGAAAATGACTTAATCAGCCGAAATGCTGATGTCAATTAGCTACCTCGAAGTTGCGATTTGAATCCGTTGGACTTTGCAAACCATCCAGAGATGATTGACGACTTGAAACATGAAATCGAAGTTGCCATTGACGAAATAGAAGCCCAAACAATCAAAAATGCACTGAAAAATTTAACTGATCGAATGGGGTATTTATTTTAAGGCTAGTTATGGCAGTCATTTGAATAATGTTGTCTATCATTCTTAAATGGAAAGGTTCAATCTTTCTAATAAACTCATAACGTTCATAAAATATTCATTACTTTTTGTATATGTGATACAAATTTCAAATCTTAAATGGCCTACCCCTTAGAGTTCTGCATACTATAAAAAAAATAAAAGTATGTGTGTAATAAGGGCAGCAAAAATATTAGTTTAAAAATTAACTCCGTCTACTATATTCTCACAGGTAGTAAAAGCCGGAAAGGTACTATATTTAAGGTAAAAAAATTGGTAATCCTGTTCACGAGAGTACTCGAATGACGGATTCGAACAATTACATTAAGTTGAAGCAGCGTCCGGTAAACTTGACAGTGTATGGCTATCAGTGTGCATGACAAGTCTACTTGAAGCAAAAATTTTGAAAAAAATATTTCGATTGACTTGATCAAGCTTGCAGCGTCTTGTAAACTTGAACGTGTGTATGAGCGGTCAAGTATGCATGACGTTAGTCGTAGCAATAAGCGAATGTCATGCCATGGTTTCAACTGCTGCGGCATCATGCGAATTGGACGCCGCTTCAAGCGCGCTGCAAACTTGACCGTAAACTGGATCGTGTATGGCATCCATTTGGCTGCTATCGCTTCAAATATTAACATTTTGTTTTACCTTTAGATTTTAAATTGTTTTTTCTAATTTACATCTTATTTATCCCTATCTATCTGTTGTTATGTAACTATGTTTTTACTAAATACATATATCGTCAGCCATTTTGCTGGTAACAAATCTCTGTAATGATATAAGGTTGGCTCATGCTAAATAGATTTTTATCTATCACAATTCTACAGTAACTTTTTGTGTTATCTTATCCAATGTGTTTAGTAACATTGTAACTTACATCTTTGGTTCATCCTTATCCTTTGTAGTTTCTTTAGAGCAGCACATAAAAACAGCTTTTTAGTGTTCAAAATCATACAATTTCTTATATAAAGACATAGACTTTGTGTGACGTAACTAAGGATATTCAACAAATAACTTGATTCATTTTTAAATAATTTAAATGTTCCTTTTTTGGTCAATTTCAACATGCGTATACGTTTTGCGCAGAAACAATGGCAGGACGCTATAATGTCGAACGACCGCCTCTCTCTGACGCTCGAGGAGATAGTTCACATCAGATCTGTGCTGACGAAGGCAGAGCTGGAGGTTTTGCCCGTTGAGGGCAGAGTTAAAGAAGACGTTGAAAAAAGAAGGGTTTGTACATTTTTTATTTCAAGTTATACCTCCGAATAAATTTAGTAAAAATCTTTTCTTATAAAAATGTTTAGGATTTCTGCACATGTATTTGATTTTTTTCTCTCGATATTTTTGCCCGAAAAACCAAAAAATCTTCGTTTACAAACGCTTTATTTTTATCAAGTTTCGTTAAAACTCGTTAAAAAAACATTTTTTAAAATGTATTTGTTATTTCAGGTATGCTTCCTATGTTTGAAAACAAGATTTGGCATTTTCGGCCCCTGGGGGCAAAAATGCAAACTGTGTAAAAAGACTGTCTGTCAAAAGTGTTGTTCGAAGGTGAGTTAATTATTGCTTTTTAGGTCTTTTTTGATGTTTTTCCTACGTGGTATTCCCTTACTTTAACACATACCTTTTTGGAATAATGTGTTCGAAAAAGTCTATGTGCAAAAGCCATTCTATGTGTATTACCGTGTGATAGTCACATGGTTGTATTCTCTCGAGTAAATATTGCTCAGTTATAATGTCCTCCAGACCGAATTTCGGCCACGGCGGCCTGTCTCACCGGAGGCTAGCCATCAGCACAGGACAGGATTATAGTGCCCAAGTGTATGCGCAAGCAAGGGTGCACTCTCTCTTCCCTCACTCTGATAACCCGATGGGTCGGTAAACCGACACGACCGTAGAGAGATCAGGCGCAGGACCAACGGCTTTACGTGCTTTCCGACGCACGGGGGTGAGACACCGCCAACTTCCTGACTCCGAGCAACTACTGAGAATTTCTTGACGGAAAAACTCAATAATTAATTTTTTGGCCCGACCCGGGATTCGAACCCAGGATTCCATGATCAGCAGTCGCACTACTACAACCACTAGACCAACGAGGCAGTCGCTCGGTAATACCTCAGCTGAAAAAGGTTACATACTTACTTATTTGCTCTCTTCTCATCAGATGCGTATACCGACGGAGCACTTCGCACACGTGCCAGTGGTGCTGCTAAGTCCGTCGCTACTGCCGTCGCCCGAGGATGAAGCGCAGTCCTCGTTCCCTAGGAGTCTCATGTCGCGGCTCGTCTCGCCTGAACACACAGTGAGTGCTGGTCCTCATGTTCTTGTATCATAGCATCGCGATATCTATCAATTTACAAAGTCGCTGTAACTCACCTGAAAGTTAATTTTAGCGTATTTTCAATTATTACATCATCGTCCTTTCGTCTTCATCTTCGTCCATAGGCCTTTTATAAGGCCCTAAGCCACCTGCATCTGTCGATTTTCTGCTTTTCCTCCCAGGTCTATCCAGATCTATCTAGTGGAGGGCTAACTGTAATATCAGTTGATTTTAAAATTGTATTAAAAATCACAAGATGGTAATCATTGTGATAGTATTTAAAATTTTTAAGGCCAGTTACCTCCAGGGGAACTTTTAGTTCGTTCGTTCGTGATTTCAATGAAAATTAATGATTTGGACATATAAAATAATCCTATTTTTTTCAGTCTCTAAAACCCATTGCTGACGCACACATAAATCTACATAATATGTTATTAATTGTAAATAATTGAAGATGCACAAGTGTGCGTAAGTGCTTGTTGTTACAATTAGTTGAGCATGGTTTCGGTGTTACTTGAGTTGTATGTAGTGTTCTGTTTATTTTTGTTTGTTTCTCTAAGTTAGTTGTTAGGTCTTTGAAATGAGACGTCTCAAAGGTCCGGATTCAAATTCAATGTTTGACTTGCGTCCAGGTGGCGGTGGACAATAGCGTGGGCAGCGCGCCCAGCAGCCCGGTGTCGCGGCGCGCGGGCTGCCCGCAGTCAGCGCCCGGCTCGCGCGGTAACTCCGCGCTGGGCTTCCACCTTGCCACGCCCGCCATGACGCGTAGCGAGGGGCCCGGCAGCATGCCCTGCGTCGTGCCGCTCTCCGCGCCCGATCGCAGGTAAGCATTCGCGAGAGCACTCGCACAAGCACCCCGCGCTTGGCTTCCTCCTCGCCACGCCTGCCATGATGCGTAGCGAGGAGCCCGGCAGCATGCCCTGCGTCGTGCCGCACTCCGCGACCGATCGCAGGTAAGCACTCGCGAGAGCACTCGCACAAGCATCCCGCGCTAAGCTTCCACCTCGCCACACTCGCCATTACGCGCAGCGAGAGGCCCGGCAGCATGCCCTGCGTCGCGCCGCTCTCCGCGCCCGATCGCAGGTAAGCACTAGCGAGAGCACTCGCAAAAGCATCCCGCGCTTAGCTTCCACCTCGCCACACTCGCCATGACGCGCAGCGAGAGTCCCGGCAGCGTGCCCTGCGTCGCGCCGCTCTTCGCGCCCGAGCGCAGGTAAGTACTCGCGAGAGCACTGCACCAGCATTCCGCGCTGGGCATCCACCTCACCGCGCCCGCCATGACGCACAGCATGCTCTATATCTATAATCTTATGTGCTTGCAATTTGCATATCTTATTCTTTTAATCATTAGCCCACGGCATAGATTTTTTCGTCAAATGGAGGATTTGCTTTTCGTTACGCTTAGCAGACGGATTGCAGATCATCGGTCTGGATATTTTCTGTCTGGTCCGAACGAGATCGTTACATAAGATTTTACTAGAATTTCCACAGTCACGTTTTACGACAGTAACAGGACGGAATGGGGTGATTAATTTTGATCTGATGAAACTTAATTAACATTTGAATGTAACTTAGTCAAAAACACCAATTTTGAAAGCGAAGATTTTTGATATCAGTATGTCTATCTTTTTGTTTTCTTTTTCCACTGATAAATACAGCTACTTACTTGGAAAATTTAAAAATATTGGCCAAATCATTATTGGAACACATGAAACTATACTTATACTCTATACCTAATGTATAGAATGACTTGCAACTATTTTTAGTTGCCTATAAGATATATGAGCCGTGGTAGCTCAGGTGGTTAACGCTCGCTGTAAATATAACAGAACGCAAGTAACCCGGGCTCGATCCCCGCCGGCACCAATGAAATTGTTAATTGCAATTTTAATTGCTGATTTACCACGTGCTCGGCGGTGAAGGAAAACATCGTGAGGAAACCTGCATGTTTGAGGCATAAGGAAAAAAGTATTTCGAAGACTTGTGAAGTTCGCCAACACGCATTGGGGCAGCGCGACGGACACTTCCTTGCCCTAAAACCCTCTCAGAAATGAGTGAAGGCCTGTGCCCAGCAGTGGGACGTATATAGGCTGTAACTTTACTTTACATTTACTATAAGATATATAGTTTAAAAACCAAGAATTATGAACAAGTCTAAATAGATTTTTTTTGTCTTTATTTGTCTATCACGTTAGGTTAAGTCAGTGTTGGCTTTAAAACTTAACATACCATTACCGCCACACCATTCCATCTATCTTTTTTAACGTTCTATACAGGTCTCGGTACGGCCGCAGCGCGACGGGAACTTCAGCGGCGGAACGCCTTCGCGGCGTACAAATGGCGGTGTGTCACGACTGTAAGGCGATGGTGCTGCAAATCATCAAGTCTTCTCGCGCCTCGCGCTCCGCTTCACGCGACCGCGCACTACGGCACCTAACTCTCGACCTGGCGCCAGTTTACACCGCCAACTGTTAGTTCTCTCCATACACAGCTAGTATTGTGGCTCTAAGGATTGCTGCCGTGTTTGGGTGCTAGGAACGGAGTTCATGATTGATAAATGGTCTCACTCCGGTCTATAGAACTGTCATATCGAAGACTTATTCAACTACTTTTGATCCTAAAATAGACAGTTATTTAAAACTGCGGAAGCTAAGAGACACCAATTTCTAAAAATGTTTAAAACACCTGGCTATATACATATTCTGCGTATGTGTACGGAAACATTGGGATTGAATCTTGATGACTCGCTCTATGTTTTCTTTTTTGTAATTCTATTCTTTCTATATGTCTTTAATGTTCTCGGCCTGCAAGAATCTACAAAATTAAAATCTTGGAATAACGAACGTTTAGCAATTGCATTTGCACTAAACAATTTAAAATACATTTATATGGAGAACATTATTTTCTTCTCGCTTTTCTCTACAATTTAAAACGATTAACGGACTGTTTGTTTGATTTACACGAAGCAAGAGTTAATAGTTTTTAATTTCAAATTACCTATGCCGACAAATTATATGACGGGATAATATGAGTAAAATGAAAAAATAATTATTTCGTACTTATTATTTTGACATGAAAATAAATTTTAATGATGAATATAATACGAAAAATTTAGAATAGTTTTTTTTTGTTATTGACCTTTATGAATGTTTTCTATGGTCAAATGTTATTCAATTGATGCAAATGTTAGTTTAATCATAAATTTCTGTCAAAGCACGTTCTATTCCTTTTGTAACCTATTTTTATTAAAAAATCCCTATAAACATTGTTATTATGGTCTCTAATACTGTACGAGATTTACAGGCGACGCTAAACTTGTGTCGCTTTAACAACGATGTAATCGCATTGTTTGTTGAGACTTTTACGTTTTTATCTTTCATTGAGATCCGACAAAGACGTCATCAATTTTGCAATCCCGCGTCTTTGTTAATTTACTTTTAACGCGTGATCAATTTTTGTTTAGCAATCTAAACGAAATGAGATTTCAATCCTAATTTATGTATCCAGTGAAACTATAATGTATGAGAAATACTGTAAAAAGAGACAGATATTGAATTTGTAGGTCTCTTTACATAAAATACCTTTATTTTAAATAATTAAAGAGCTTCCGAGGTTGTGTAGGAACTATGTTCTTTTAAGGGGACCGTAATTCGACATATTGATTTCATGTCGACAATTAAATGTTTTGACGAGACTTTGTGACTTTGACAGATAGTAACGCTCCATTTTCTTTTTTATTTATCGCACAAAACCAATTGAATTTCAAAAAGACATAATTTACAATATACTAAAAAATATATTCACATTACCTATATTAAAATTTTAAATAGTATATGGATGTTTAAATATTTCATGAAATTACTAAGATGTACCTATTTTGTCATTTACATATATGTAAAAAAAATATATTTTTCCGAATAATAGACTTTAAAATATTTCTACAATTTAATTGTAAATCCCGATATGTTATTATATGAAAAAAATGTATAATGTTATAGCAGAATCTTAAATACTTTGTCATTATTGTGCTAAATTTGCTGTGATTTATTATTTCAAACTCGAAGCATACCCAAACCTTCCTTGATTATGTTTAATTTAAAAAGTATTTGCCTTAAATCGCGATGATTCTATGTTATTCAACTGAAATTTTCGCTTTATATACACCTATTCGAAATACTGTGCCATAACGACCTTTCCACATAATACAGTATTGGCATACGGGTGGTTAAACTGGTTAAAAAGTGTTTTACGTTAGTCGCTCGTGTGTCGATGATTTGTTTATTTTAGTTTTCTAAGCATCATTGAAAAGAACAAAAACAGCTTCCGTTATTTTAGTTATTATTTATTTTTGTAAGCTTTAAAAACAATGTTTTTGTAAGCTGATCACATATTTTGTAACGAACACCTGAAATGATTTTAATTTTTACTTTTTGGTATGTGGGATAAATCGACGTCTCATAAAGGTTTTATAAGAATTCTCTATGCACAGTCTTGCCTATATATTAATTATTAATGTAAAAAGTATGTATATTAACAATTTTTATGTATTGACTTGATCAGCACAATAAATTATAAGCAGAACACTAATCCCATTTTTATATAAAATTTTTTTTGTTGTTGACATTTGTTCCTAAAATTGAATATTGCTTTAAGTCATTGGAAGTTATGTGTTATTTCTAAGGCTTGTTACTTTGAATGTGTGGTCAGCTTTCATTCTTTAGTATGTATAAAGTATATGTGCTAATTGCTTAGATTCATGTGTCACTCATTTTGTAGAATAACCTAGTTTTATTTAAATTATTTTGCCAAATATGTAACCTCTCCCAAGGCCGAAATTATGTATATATAGATTTTCTTTAGCGTCATCTTTTAATCGGTTACTTAATGTAGGCTAACTACATCCAAGTTTGTTATATTTGTTAAACTGGGAACTTATTTATAAATATAATTTAAATAGTGTATTCAATGTAACATCTGTGGAAACGGCTGGTACCTAAGTTGTAAAAATGGCCTAAAATTCATTAAAACCTACATTTTGCTCGTACTATACTTAAACGTCAATTTTTTTTAACCGCGAAGTTATTCATTTCATTAATGTGTGTAATTGTACCTAACTAAATCAAATTCCCAGTTGAAGTCTTTGTAAATGTATGTAAATTTCAGTAGTCTATATTAGATGTTATGTAGATGATAACCTTCTAAAATATACTTATAGTAAAAAGAAATGATAATAATAACGGGAAATAAAACAAATTACAAATCGTTTTTAAATTCTTTCATTTGGAAATATCGTTAATACCTACCCATGGATACACCCCCTATAAATAAAATTTTGGTCGATGTCATTTGGATATATTTATGTGTTATACTCGTATTAATTTGGTATGACGACTGCAAATATTTTACATAATAACATAGGAATACTCGATTTGACAAACTAGTGAGGGGTGTATAGCGCGTTTTGCTTGTGATATCTAACCGGTGAACTCAATTGAACTAGACCGTTTAGAGGCAATGCAACAGGCGGCCGGCCGTGCCTATAGGGCGTTACCATATTTATCAAACGCTAGATGCGACCTGCTTTAACATCCAGATTGGTCTGGGATTGTCCGTGAAACGCTCATTTTGTAATGTAAATGACGCCTAGTCCGAATTATTTTGTATTAATAATCACCTGTTTGGCACCACCCGTTGCCTTATGTATTAATACACAGAAAGCGACAAAATTTCAAATCTCATCTCTCAAATCTCATCAAATCTGGTTTGTCCACTTGGTTCAGTATGACAATGCATTTAAATAAATCTACTAATCGATCGAAACGCGATTCACGGCATTTAAAAGAGTTCCATTGCCATTAAATTGCATGTGAATTTGAATTAAATCGGCTTAGTAGATTTTGAGGAATCTCAAATATTAAAGTTTGAAAAAAATTTTTTTGAGATAACTTTTAAACTAATGTATCGATCGATTCCAAAATCTAATCAGCTCTTAACTTCAAAATACAACATCAATTGCCGCAAACCGTATCAAAATCGGTTCATTCGTTCAAAAGAAATTTTCTCAAGAGCAATTTGCTCTTCGAGCTCAAAACATCATAATAGGTGGACTTTGGAGTGTTTTGCATTTGAAATTGGCGGGAAGTCACAGGGATGGCCTGTAGGGTCATCCGTATTTTTTTTGTTGTTATTAGGGAAATATTTGTTGCCCATCTCTTGGGATGTTTTCTTCTGTTGTTGCATGTTACGACACCCGTCAGACGATATGGTGTAGTGGATATTCCTACACTGCCACTCAGTAGCGGCGTTAGGACAGGCCGCGGTTGGGCGACCGCCCCAGGGCACCAAACATGAAGGGGCGTCAAAGGCGAAAAAGTAAGTGAAGGAGAAATATTAAAGTCCGAAATTACAAGTATATCGCGAGTCAAAAAATCAAAATACTACCTATGTGATTATAGCCTACTGCACCCGAGTACCTACTCACGTAGAACAACTTTCATTCACAATCCAATTTGTTCATTTATCATCAAATGAAAATGAAATAAGTGTAAAGGAGCATTTCATAGAATTTTTAAAAATCGATGACACCTTTGGTGGTCGAATTGATTATATGAATCTGAACTATTATTAGTGTTTTAAATAAACATAGACTTAAATTGTGTATGAAAACGGAGCGAATATGAAAAAAAATGTTGGGATCCTAAGAAAAATTCTGGACTTAAAACCCCTTAGCTATTTATATACCGTGTGGCTGCCATAGCTACAATCTCGTACCATGCTATGCTGCTAAGTCATCAATAAAATCTGTCACTTAGTTTGGGGTACTTTCTGAGGTAGGTAGTTCACATTGCTTTCGGATTTAGTTTATCGATGGAAAATTCTAAATTTTCACTTAGGTTTATATTCAATAATTAATATCAAATCAATTGCTCTGTTAAAGCAAGTCTCGTTAAAACTTGAAACTGGCTCGACTGATGCTGATGAAATTTTTTGCGGGTGTTTAAATGGATCTCTGGATGGTTTTTTAGATTTAAAATTGAACCCGGTAGATAACGCTTTTGTCGAGATCCAGAAATCGTCTGTGCTAGGCCGTGGCGGATCGCTAGTATTCAGTAAAAAAAGCTTAGTAAAACACGTTGGGAAAAAAGTACAAGCAATGTTAAAGCAGTCCGTTATCTAATTAGTAACGTTCATGATGCTTTAATTACTATGGCTATTGAAGCCGAGAAAACCGACGTTCCAATCTCTTACGAGGTCACTACTCTAGCCCAATAGCTAAAAGATGCTTCATAGTTTGACTGGTTGTTTGATATGATATACTGTTCCAGATAAATGTCATTAGTAAATTCCTGCACTTACCATATATGCATCTCGCTAAATGCACCGATATGCGCACAAAATAGGTACTGCTATTTCTTGAATAAGTACAGAAAAACGAGTTTTGAAAGCGTCTTTTAGTTAGTTGGCTGAAGAACTTG